TAATCTCAGGATCAGAAAATCAGTCTGGATTTTGGCTTAGAGACTAACTGTATGTTTCTGAGTGCCTCCTGATTCACAACTGGGATGATGTCTTCTTCACAACTGTGGTGAAGTACTTCACTCAAGTGTGTAAATACACAGATTTTATTATCTCAGAAAATTAATGGGAAGGATCACTAAGTTATCATGGGTGAGTTAATTTCCTCTCTCCTCTATCACATTATTTATCTTCTAGTTTGCAGAATTGGTTGATAGTACATATAATTCTTTTTTTTTTTTTTTTTTTGACAGGCAGAGTGGACAGTGAAAGAGAGAGAGAGACAGAGAGAAAGGACTTCCTTCTTCCGTTGATTCACCCTCCAATGGCCGCTGCGCTGATCCGAAGCCAGGAGCCAGGTGCTTCTCTTGGTCTCCCATGCGGGTGCAGGGCCCAAGCACTTGGGCCATCCTCCACTGCGCTCCTGGGTCACAGCAGAGAGCTGGACTGAAAGAGGAGCGACCGGGACAGAATCCAGCACCCCGAATGGGACTAGAACCTGGGGTGCCGGCGCCACAAGGCAGAGGATTAGCCTATTGAGCGGTGGCGCTGGCCTACAGTACATGTAATTCTAATTTTAGGTAGAAAATTTAAATGAAATGATCATAAAGAATGAATGATTTCTGATATAAAGGATATAAAACACAACATGTACAGTTTCTTTATTTGATTTTTAAATATAAGCAAATATTAAATTATGGAATAAGAAATGTACAGTTTATACTAAACTAGTGATTGTAATTATTGGCTTTATAGGATGAAAGAAGCCAAACCTCATAACCATCAGAAGGACTGGACTCATTCTAGTTCCCACAACTCAAAACAGACAACTGGAGTTAGAAAAGATGCAGTCAAAAAGTCACTAACATAATCAGGACCATATCAGATGAATGAAATAGATCATTATCTTAACAGTGCATAAGGACTGAAAGAAATGGTCAAGGTCTTTAAGAGCTTAAATTATATGGATGAGATGAAGTATAATTTACTTCATCAAATTCTAAAAGATCTGAGTTTCTGGAATTGAGCTTTTAGATGGCAATAAGCTTACACGATGCATTATTTATAATCCTCAAATCAAGAAGTTGCAAAGAATGGAATGAGTCATGCAATCTGATGTTCTAGCCAGTGCAGGGAGTACTATGGATGGGATCCTTGAAAAAATTTCAGAGACAAGGCCCTCATTACACATCTGCGAGCAATATGAATGACTGTTCTTACTGTAACCACTAAATACTGGGGTGGTTGGCTACTATTTAACAAGAGAAACTGGTACACCTCCTATCTTTAAAGTAACCCATAAAATATGAACTCTGTTTTTGATGAAATTAACAGTAATAAGTGAGGACAGATACAGCTGGAAGAAAATATACCTGACAGTCTGCAGAGGAGAATACAGAAAAGAAGCAAAATGATCTGTCCCCTAGAAGCCCAGAAGGCTACTCAGCAGAACTGCTGAAGAGGCTGGGGCAGGGCTGCAGACAAGGACAATGTGTAAGAAGGAAAACTCACAAGCCCTGACCCCAACTGGCACAGCCAAACAAGGCCCTTCTCAGCCCCAGAGGAAACATGGAGTGTAACCCCTAGACAAAGTGAAGGAGAGGTTCTGGACTCAGGACATATCTGTGCTTGGTGTTTGTGTGGGTATCCAAAGACTGAAGACAAATTGTATGAAATGAAAACCTACACAGTGGATGGAGATCTCTAACCACTTTTTAGTAGCCTAGCTCTACAATGTTAGCATTGTACCCAGGCAAGAAACTGGAGGGTTCACCAATACAAAAACTGAACTATCCCAAAGGAAAAACCAACAGTTGCTGATATGTGGAGATTCTCAATAAAAAAGTCAGTCTACCACTACACTGTACAAAAAGGAAGCTTCACCATCACTATACCTGCTCTCAGTTTCCATTCTACTCAACTGATTTATTCTTACATATAAACAACAAACAAGGATCACAGGCTTTGAGAAAAGCCTACAACTCACCAAAATAAATAAATAAATAAATAAATAAATAACAAACATACCTGGAGCAACAAGTAAGTTGAAGAAATTAAATACATTCAAAAAGATAATAAGCTATTTCTTAGAAACAGAACATAAACATTTAAGAAATTTTAACAACAGAAAAACATTTCAATATAAAAGAATATAAATTTGAGGGAATTGCTTAGAAAGTAAAAGGAGATAAACAGCAGGAACACAAAATTTCTAAAAAACATCAAACTAGAATTTCAAGAAGAAAGGAATAGAGTAAAAAGGAGTAACTCTCATAGACAAGAACAAAACAAGGACATTTCTTAAAACTAATGGATTTTAGATTGGTAAGTCTTCTGAGCACCTAGAATAAAGTTTGAAAAGAATCGTATCTCAGATAATGAATCTTGAAGATTCTAAAGAGAAAAACAAAAAAACAAAAATAGCTGCCTATAAAGACTCAGAAGGGCATTAGCCCCCTCAATCCTAATACCAGAAGCTTAAAGATGACTGAACAATACCTTCCAAATTCTAAGTATAAAACCTGATTTTTCAGGGCTAGCATTGTGGTATAGCAGGCTAAGCTGCTGCCTGTGACCCAAGCATCCCATAAGGGCATGGGTCGAGTCCTGGCTGCTCCAATTCCCATCTAGCTCCCTGCTAACTGGCCTGAAAAGCAGTAGAAGATGCCCACGTGTATGGGACCCTGCCACCCAAGTGAGAGACCCAGATGAACATTCTGGCTCCTGGCTTCAGCCTGGACCAACCCTGGCTATTGTGGCCATCTGGGGAGTAAACCATCAGATGGAAGATCTCTCAGAGCTCTGTCTCCTCTCTCTCTCTCTGTAACTTTCAAATAAATAACTTTTTAAAAGGGGGAGGGGGGCCGGCGCCGCGGCTCACTAGGCTAATCCTCCGCCTAGCGGCGCTGGCACACCGGGTTCTAGTCCCGGTTGGGGCGCCGGATTCTGTCCCGGTTGCCCCTCTTCCAGGCCAGCTCTCTGCTGTGGCCAGGGAGTGCAGTGGAGGATGGCCCAGGTGCTTGGGCCCTGCACCCCATGGGAGACCAGGAAAAGCACCTGGCTCCTGGCTCCTGCCATCGGATCAGCGTGGTGCGCTGGCCGCAGCGCGCCGGCCGCGCCGGCCATTGGAGGGTGAACCAACGGCAAAGGAAGACCTTTCTCTCTGTCTCTCTCTCTCACTGTCCACTCTGCCTGTCAAAAAATAAAAAAATAAAAAATAAAATAAAATAAAAGATTTAAGAAAAAAAAAAGGGGGGGAGGGGGGCGGCAGCACAGTGCAGCAGATGCTCATGGCTCTGTTTTGGCTCATTTGTTCTCTGTTTCGCTATTTTTGACTCACATTAGAAAGTTTTATTTTCATCTAAATACTATAAATGTACTTCACGATTTCCATTTAATGATGTTTTAGAAAAGCTTATCTGACAATGTTTCTTTTCCCCTGTTCTGGGTACTGGCTCTTTTTGGTTTTAGATTGCTGTGAGGAGAAAACTATGAATTCATTTTTCAAAATAATGAATATACACATATGTGAGTACATTTACTTTAAAACATGCAACAATAAGAATATTTTTAGATAATTTCTTAGGTTAGTGAACAAATATGATGATGCATTTCATATATCTTTCTAAAACCTCTCTTTACATAATTTTTATTTATATCATTTTGTTTCAAAAGGTCCTTTTTAAAAATTTATTTTTAATTTGCATGTTATCTCATAAATACCTTATGTACACAGTAAGTCCTCCCACTGTACCTGCCCTCTCACCCATTCTCCTCCCCTTCCTGCTCCCTCTCCTGTTTAATCTGAGAAAGAAAGAAAAAGAAAAATAGATCAAATGGAGTAAAAAACAAAAACAAAAAACCTAAAAGCTAAGAGAAGTGTTCTCAACACGTCTTTAAAGAACTCAAGGATGATACATCTTTTATGAGCTCTTAGACATAACTAACATAACTATAACTTATAAGGCACAATAATATCCTCCTTTTAATATACTAAAAGGAAGTGATTCTTGAGAACAAGTTTTACTATTAAGTTTCATAATACCACTCTTTGGGGACAGAGGTCCTGCGTGGGAAGTTAGTGCACAGTGACTCCTGTTGTTAATTTAACAAATAACATTCAAAAAGGTCCTTTTTAAAAATTTATTTTTATTTATCTGGAAGGCAGAGAGAGATATAGAGAGGTCCCATCTATCACTTCACTTCCCAGATGTCTGCAATAGTTGGGGCTAGACCAGGCCAAAGTCAGGAACCTGGAACTCAATCACCTGATGTCTTGCAAGGTGCACATCAGCAGGAAGCTAGAATAGGAAGCTGAGTTAGAACTCATACCCAAGCACCCCCATATGGGATATGCTCAGTATAAGTGGCATTTAAAAAGAGTTTATTTTGATTCATTTTTATTTATTTGAAAGGCAGAGTGACAGAGAGAGAGAGAGAGAGAGAGAACTGGCATTCACAGGTTCACTCCCCAAATGTCCAGAAAAGCCAGGACTAGGCCAGGCTAAAGCCAGGAGTCCAGAATTCCAACTGGGTCTTCCACATGAGTAGCAGGGACCCAATTACTTTAATCATCACCTGTTGCCTCCCAGGGTGCACATTAGCAGGAAGCTGGAAACGGCAACAGTGCTAGGACTCAAACTTATGTACTGTGATATGGGCTATGAGTGACCCAAACAGCCTCTTAACCACTACGCCAAACATACATCTGCCCCACCCTCATTTCTGACCATGTGTTTGCACTTAATATGATTTATCTTACTGGTTCTTTCTCTATTCAAGATTATTGTCAGTTTTATATTTCAGCTTCTCTGAATAATCTATCAAGTCGTTTTTCATTTTGCTTTTACTTTGGCATTTTTTAGAGTAATTATTAACAATTTTACCTTAATATGAACAACTCTTTTGGGATAAGGTATGTTATTCTCCCTCCCGTAGCCCCCTCTCCCCACATTGCTCTTACTTGTGCAGTCTCTGCATGTTCCAGCATCTCTTCAAATTCCTGATACTCTTCATCATCTGGTTCAGAACCTGAAAGGCGAGCTGCCCTCGCCATGAAATATGGAGGCAACTCTCCGATAGCTGTGCCGATACCCTAGGTGAAAAATAAAAATACTTACAATAAGATCTGTTCTCAGCACAGGGACACTTAACAGATCAAATCTATACTTTTCTGTACCACGAAAAGCACTTGGATATACAATGTATTGAGGGTTTGGGTGTGGGGGGAGCATATGCTACACAAATGAACAGTGCTTAAATCACGACTCTAATTCTGACCCATATGACGCCAGGCAAGATAATCCATATAAAACTCTTACATAATCGCTGATCCATGGTAGATACTAAATTTAGTTTTCTAGCCTCTCTCTTTAGATTCTGTTATTTTTCTCTGACACTCCCCAAATGACCAGTAGTAAGAATTCACTATGGGCCAGTGGGCTGGCACTGAAGCATAGAAGGTTAAACTGCCTGCAGCACCAGCATCCCTATAGGAGGCAGTTCAAATCCTGGTTGCTCTACTTCCAATGCAGCCCCCTGCTGATGTGCCTGGGAGGGCAGAGGAGGATGGATCAAATCCTTGGATCCCCGTATCCACGTGGGAGACCCAGAAGAAGCTCCTAGCTCCTGGCTTTGGCCTGGCCCAGCACTGGCCGTTGTGGCCATTTGGGGAGTGAATCAATGGATGAAAGATATCTCTCTCTCCCCCTTTACCTCCTTCCTTCTCTCTTTATTTCTGCCTTTCAAACAAATAAATAAATCTTAAAAAAAATTCACTATGTACAGCTTATTAGTTTATTTTTATTTTTTAAAGATTTATTTATTTATTTGAAAGGCAGAGTTACAGAGAGGCAGAGGCAGAGGGGGGAGGTCTTTCCCAGGCCATAGCAGAGAGCTGGATCAGAAATGCAGCAGCCTGGACTTGAACTGGTGACCATACGCAATGCCGGCACAGCAGGAAGCAGCTTTATCTGCTATGCTACAGCACCAGCCCCACAGCTTATTAGTTTCAAGCTTTAATACTGTTTAAGAATACAATCTACAGATGTTAGATAAAATTCTCTAGGCAACCCTTTGGCATTTCAGATGCTATTTCAATCCCAATATAACTTTTTTGTGTGTTGAGTTAAAACTTAACAAATCGTGGCGAGGAAGCCCCTTGAAAACTCAACATTAAGACGGATAAATTCCCACTACAGGAAACATGTTCATTTCCTCAGAACACTCAGTGACTCATGTTTCAGTCACTTTGTGGACTTTTGTTTTTGAAGAAATTTTTTTTTCCCCAATCAGCTTAGGAACCAAGGATGAAAACAAAGGTTAATGAACTGGGAACTTGGTTACACTTAAATGACTTAAATACAGGACAGGAAATAATGCAACAGGGTTACAGTCTCTAGAGAAATTCTCAGCTTTGAACCATTCAGACCACCTTCTCTACCCTGAGTCACAGTGAACAAAAAGCGTTGCCAGTTCTCAAAATCAACTATAAGCCTTTCAGTTTGCTCTGTCCTGACTCTACTTGCAAATATCTGGAAAAGAATCCTCAAGGGATGTCATGAAATTCAAATACTTTGTGTTCATAATGAGTGGAATCAACAATCACCAACACTGTGGCATAGTGGGTAAAGCCACCTCCTGTGATGCTGGCATCTCATATGTGGGCACCAGTTTTTGTCCCAGCTGCTCCATTTCCAATTCAGCTCCTTGCATGTGGCCAGGGAGAAGCAGTAGAAGATGGCCCAAGAGCTTGGGCCCCTGCACCCATGTGGGAGACCTGGATGAAGCTCCTGGTTTCAGCTTGGCCCAGCCCTTACTGTTGTGGCTATCTGGGGAGTGAACCAGCAGATGGAAGATTTCTCTCTCTCTCTCTCTTTCGCCCTCTCCCTCTCTCTCTGTAACTATTTCAAGTAAATCTTAAAAAAAAAAAAAAAAACCTAAACAAAACAATAAAACCCTCCAACAATCTCTAGTGGATAATATTATCCACATGTAAAACAGAGTTTTGCATTTAAGTGTCAAAAGAATAAGCTAGGGGGCCAGCACTGTGGAGTATCTGTCAGGTAAAGCCCAGTGCCAGCATCCCATATGGCTGCTGGTTCTAGTCTCGGCTGCTCCTCTTCAGATCCAGCTCTCTGCTATGGCCCAGGAAAGCAGTAGAAGATGGCCCAAGCACATGGGCCCCTGTACCTGCATGGGAGAACTGTGACAAGCTCCTGGCTCCTGGGTTCGGATCGGCCCAGCTCTGGCCATTGCAGCCATTTGAGGAGTGAACCAACAGATGGAGATGTTTGTCTCTGTCTCTCCCTCTCTCTGTCTGTAACTCTACCTCTCAAATAAATAAATAAATAAATCTAAAAAAAAAAAAAAAAAAAAGAAGAAGAAGAAGAAGAAGGAGGAGGAGGAGGAGGAGGAGGAGGCGGCAGGGCCAGTGTTGTGGTGCAGGTTAAGCCACTGCTTGTGATTCTATCATCTCATATTGGAGGGCAGGTTCAAGTCCCAGCTGCTCCTCTTAGAATTCAGCTTCCTGCTAATGTGCCTGAGAAGGTAGGGGAAGACAGCCCAAGTACTAGGGTTCCTTCCACCACTTGGGAGAGTTCCTGACTCCTGCTTTGGCCTGGCTCAAACCTGGCTGTTGCGGCTATTTGGAGAGTCAATCAGTGAATGGAAGATCTCTCTCTGCCATGCTGCCTTTCAAATACATAGATAAATCTTTAAAAAATAATAAGCCTACATTTAAGGAAGTGAGCGACAGAGAATGAAGACACACAGAGGACAGGAATAAAACATAAATCATATACTGCTTGATGAAGTTGTTCAACTTTGCAGAGTGCTAGAGAACAAGCTTATTATTTTAAAACTGGTTTAAAAAGTGGGAAAGAATAAGTATTTATCCTGCCTTTCTTATATGAACTAAATCTCAGTGTAATCAAATTAGTGATGAAAAGCTTCTCTTTTTTATTTTTTATTTTTTTAAATTAATTAATTTATTTTTTTTGACAGGCAGAGTAGACAGTGAGAGAGAGAGAGACAGAGAGAAAGGTCTTCCTTTGCCGTTGGTTCACCCTCCAATGGCCGCCACGGCCGGTGTGCTGTGGCTGGCGCACCGCGCTGATCCGATGGCAGGAGCCAGGTACTTCTCCTGGTCTCCCATGGGGTGCAGGGACAAGCACTTGGGCCATCCTCCACTGCACTCCCTGGCCACAGCAGAGAGCTGGTCTGGAAGAGGGGCAACCGGGACAGAATCTGGCGCCCCAACCGGGACTAGAACCCGGTGTGCTGGCGCCGCAAGGCGGAGGATTAGCCTAGTGAGCCACGGCGCTGGCCCTAATTTTTTATTTTTATTTTTTTGACAGGCAGAGTTAGACAGTGAGAGAGAGCTACAGAGAGAAAGGTCTTCCTTCTGTTGGTTCACCCCCCAAATGGCCGCTACAGCTGGCATGCTGCGCCGATCCGAAGCCAGGAGCCAGGTGCTTCCTCCTGGTCTCCCATGCGGGTACAGGGTCCAAGGACCTGGGCCATCCTCCACTGCCTTCCCAGGCCACAGCAGAGCTGGACTGGAAGAGAAACAACCAGGACAGAACCGGCGCCCCAATCAGGACTAGAACCCGGTGTGCCAGTGCTGCAGGCAGAGGATTAGCCTAGTGAGCTGCGGCGCCAGCTGAAAAGTTTCTCTTTATAAAATAACAGAAAGACAATCAGACATTATTATCTTCATGATTAAAATAGCAAGCTATAAAGTATATTTCTGTTAAAAGCAAAAACTTCAAGCTACTCAATTTACCAACAGGAAAACCCAACTAGAACACAATAAAATAACTTTAGAATATAAGAAACTCGTCGGCACCGCAGCTCACTAGGCTAATCCTCCGCCTGCGGCGCTGGCACACCAGGTTCTAGTTGCGGTCGGGGCGCCGGATTCTGTCCCGGTTGCCCCTCTTCCAGGCCAGCTCTCTGCTGTGGCCCGGGAGTGCAGTGGAGGATGGCCCAAGTGCTTGGGCCCTGCACCCCATGGGAGATCAGGAGAAGCACCTGGCTCCTGCCTTCGGATCAGCGTGGTGCGCCGGCCGCAGTGTGCCGGCCGCGGCGGCCATTGGAGGGTGAACCAATGGCAAAGGAAGACCCTTCTCTCTCTGTCTCTGTCTCTCTCTCTCTCACTGTCCACTCCGCCTGTCCAAAAAAAAAAAAAAAAAAAAAAAAAAGAATGTAAGAAACTCTATTTGATAAGCCAATTTCATCAATATACAGATTTTATAAGAAAAAGAAACATAATAAGGAAAACCTGAACATTAACTCATAATAGATTTTAAGAGATGACTATATTTCTTTAAGGTGTGATAATGGCTTTTAAGCCCTAAGGCAGATGTGTTTACAGATGAAATGCGGTTTGATAACTGTGATCTGCTTCAAGAGAATTGACAGCGAGGAATGGTAGAGTTAAGACAATATTAACCAAGAGTTAGCAGAAGGTAAGTAAGAACATATTAAATCCATTTTATTATTCTCCACACTTTCAGAAAAAATTTCCCATAATAAAAGTAGGAAGAAGAGTTAATTATAACATCTTATTCAAAACACAAACTTTTCTGATTTATTTGAAAGGCAGAGTGGCAAAAAGATAGACTGATCTTCCACCTGCTGGATCACTTCATGAATGGCTGCAACAGATAAGTCTTTTTTTATTTTTTAATTTTTTTATTTATTTGAAAGGCAGAGTTACAGAGAGAGGTAGAGCCAGAGAGAGAGAGGTTTTCCATTCTGCTGATTCATTCCCCAAATGACCGCAACGGCCAGAGCTGAGCTAATCCGAAACCAGGAGCTAGGAGCTTCTTCCGGGTCTCCCACGTTGGTGCAGGGGCCCAAGGAGTTGGGCCAACCTCCACTGCTTTCACAGGTCATAGCAAAGAGCTGAATCAGAAGTGGAGCAGCCAGGACTTGAACCGGCGCCAATATGGGATGCCAGCACTGCAGGCTGAGGCCTTAACCCACTGCACCACAGCGCCAGCCCCAACAGCTAAGTCTTGGCCAGGCCATAGTCAAGAGCCAGAAACTCCAACCTGGTCTTCCAGATGGGCGGGAGAACACAGAGTACTTGGGTCATTTTGCCACTACTGGATTGGCAGTGAAGTGGCTGGGATGTGAACAGCACTCCAACAAGGGCTGCTGGCATCACAAGCAGAAGCTTAACTCGCTGTGCCCCATAGAAATGTAGCTAGTTAACTGAAACTAGATACTGAAGTCACCCAGCTTCACATTCTTAAAAAACAATTTTATAATTTTTTAAAAGATTTATTTATTTGAGGGGGCACCATGGCTCACTTGGCTAATCCTCCGCCTGTGGCACTGGCATCCCATATGAGCGCCGGGTTCTGGTCCTGGTTGCCCCTCTTCCAGTCCAGCTCTCTGCTGTGGCCCAGGAGTGCAGTGGAGGATGGCCCAGGTGCTTGGGCCCTGCACCTGCATGGGAGACCAGGAAAAGCACCTGGCTCTTGGCTTTGGATCAGCGCAGCGCTGGCCGTAGCAGCCACTTGGGGGGTGAACCAACGGAAGGAAGACCTTTCTCTCTGTCTCTCTCTCTTACCATCTATAACTCTGTCAAATTAAAAAAAAAATATTTATTTGAAAGACAGAGTTACAGAGAGAGGGAGAGACAGAGAGAGAGAGAGGTCTTCCATCTGCTGGTTCACTCCCCAGGTGGCTGCAATGGCCGGAGCTGCGCCAATCCAAAGCCAGGAGCCAGGAGCCAGGAGCTTCTTCTGGGTCTCCCATGCGGGTACAAGGGCCATCTTGTACTGCTTTCCTAGGCCATAGCAGAGAGCTGGGTCGAAAAAGGAGCAGCCAGGACTAGAACCGCTCCATTATGAGATGCTGGCGCTTCAGGCCAGGGCTTTAACCCACTGCGCCACAGCGCCGGCCCACAGTTTTATAATTTTAATATAATTCATATATGCAAAATTTGTATAAAACGCAGGTATAAGTTTTTGGTATCTGTTTATATACAAAATAAACAAACATCATGTACACTAAAAACTGTCAGCCCAACCTAAATTAAAGGGTAAGAATGACTGGCTTCCTTATTGCAAAAACTCAAGTTTCACAAAATTCTTTCTTTTTTTAAAAAGTTTCATTTATTCACTTATTTTAAAGGTAAAATGACAGAAAGAGAAAGATCTTTCATCCACTGGTTTGCTTCCTAGATGTCCACAACAGCTGAGGCTAGGCCAGGATGAAGCCAGGAGCCTGGACCTTATTTATGTCTATCTGGGAGACAGGGACTCATGTACCTGAGCCATTATCTGCTGTGTCCCAAGGGGCACCTTAAGCCTCTGCATCATAATACTCCTCCCCCTTTCACTGTTTTAATAGAATTCTTTAATGCATGAGAGGTTTTAAGAAGTTCAATTCATCTACTTTTTCTTTCATTGCCTTTGATCTTTATCTCATATATAAGAAACCACTGCAAAGTCAACATTGTGTAGATTTATCCCTATATTTTCCTTTAAGAGTTTTATCATTTCAGTTCTTAAGTTCAGTTCCATGTGACATTTTCAGTTAATTCTTACAATGTAAAGTAAGGGGCCCATTTCATATTTTTACATGGGAGTATTCAGTTTTCCCAGCATCATTTGTTGAGAGGGCCCTTGTAAATGTTGAGAACAGGACTCAATTTAAATATAACCTGACATGTGCTGCATTTTTTCTTTTTTTTTTTTTCTTTTTATTTTTTTATTTTTATTTTTTTTTTTGACAGGCAGAGTGGACAGTGAGAGAGAGAGACAGAGAGAAAGGTCTTCCTTTGCCGTTGGTTCACCCTCCAATGGCCGCCGCGGCCGGCGCGCTGCGGCCGGCGCACCGCGCTGATCCGATGGCAGGAGCCAGGAGCCAGGTGCTTTTCCTGGTCTCCCATGGGGTGCAGGGCCCAAGCACCTGGGCCATCCTCCACTGCACTCCCTGGCCACAGCAGAGGGCTGGCCTGGAAGAGGGGCAACCGGGACAGAATCCGGCGCCCCAACCGGGACTAGAACCCGGTGTGCCGGCGCCGCTAGGCGGAGGATTAGCCTAGTGAGCCGCGGCGCCGGCCAATGTGCTGCATTTTTTCATGACAAGACAGTTCCAAAGAAAGAAACAAGAAAGCAAACAAATATCTGACTGATTAATCAGTACTTATTGATATTCCTCTACTGTGTGCAAAGTCTAATAATGAGTGCTGTGAAGGTAATACATGTAAGGTAGTCTGTATTTTTTAGGAGCCTAAATTTTATTTGGGGGGAATTTAAAACGCTATTAGTTAAGTGAACTAACTGAAAGCATGGAAGAAGCCAGGCCACAAGGAGTCTAGAGACAATATGCATTGTGGGAAACTTAAGAAGGCAGCTATCACTGCCAGCTGGGATGGAAGTGTTCCTTTGTTTGCATTGTGTTAAATCAGGTACATAAGTAATTTTTGAAATAACCAAAGTATAATTTAAGAAAAATAGAAAATGGAAGTTTTTTAACATAGTCCCTTACATAGTGTGTTCCAAGTATTTTCTGCTGTTCAAATAATACGTTTTCATCAAAAGACTAATGTCAAGTTTATAAAACATGTGCAGCTAGTATAATGATTTTGTTCCTAGAGATTATAAAAGAGCAACAGGAAACATGACAATTTTTCCTGTCTTTCATATTTAACAAATTCAACATATGGCACTTCCTTCAGAATTCTTTCAAAGCAGACCATAACTGCTAACATTTAACTGTGATTCAAGGCTTTGCTTCTTCTGCTGGCTTGGTATTCATGATGGTTTTAATGAGTTAAGATTTTTAAGTGACCTGTTCCACATTCTTTTATTTTCTAAGAAACTGCTAGAGAAAAACATGATTGAAACATAACAAGCCTAAATGATGAGTTAAAAAAAAATAAGTCAGTGGTAACACAAGTCCTTAGCAAATGAATTATTCCTCAGTGTAGAATATCTGAATGAACTTAGGCATCAAAAAACCCAAAAGCTTTGTGTGGATTAAAATACACTTGCCACTGAATATGTTGTCCAAAAAGTTTCTTATAGTAAACTTATACAGACCACAAAAATAACTAATACAGCTGAAAGTTGTACATGATATTGGTCATATACAACCATATAGTCTGATACCTCCACTATAATAAAGCTTGATTTGCATTAAGAAATATATGCCCTTATTTTAGCATTATAATAATTAGAAAATGAGTTCTCAAAGAATCAAAACAGAATTTAATAACAGTATTTAATAACTAATATAGGAGTGAAAATACAATATCTACTAATTCAGAATTCATATAAAACCACTTGTTATGTATTATCTGTATATACGGCCTAGAACAAATTCTACAAAGCAGTATAGTTCCCTATCTGAATTACTCTTCCCTGCTATTGTTTACTTGGCCTCAGTTGCTTTGTGGTACATACGACTTCATGTCTTTCTTATCAATGTCACTCACAAACAGGAGTGGCACTAAAAGGTTTATTTTACTTCAGAAGCAGGTAGTTGGTGACTTCATGAACCCATTAGGAACTAGTCAGATGTTAAGATTCCATTTCAGAAAAGTGCCCCATAGTGTCAAGATAGTAAGTTTAGTTTCAGAAAAATATGAAGATGCACATCTTACCCACATGCAGGCCTCAATCCTAACTTTTGAGATGATACTCCACAAAGAAATGGTTCCTTCAATGTTCTCTTCATCTGGACAAATAATTTGATCAGGATAGGGTGGCTCAGGGAAATTAACTGAGTTGCATTCATAAGCAGCTAACGTAACTGAAGCTATATGTGGACCCTATAAAAAAAACATAAGAAATCAACCTGATGAGAACTATCACTGAAAAAAGGAATTATCGATACACAATGTTATTTTAACACTACATCAATCACAACATATTACAAGGAAAAACTTAGCTTTCAGAGACCAAAATTCTGTCTATAAACAAATATTTCAAAATTCAGGTAGTACTGGGGCCATGGCGCCGGCATCCCATGTAGGTGCTGGTTTGCATCCTGGCTGCTCCTCTTCTGATCCAATGCTCTGCTAATGGCCTGAGAAAGCAGCAGCAGAAGGCTCAAGTGCTTGGGCCCCTGCATCCATGTGGGAGACCCAGAAGAAGCTCCTGACTCTTGGCTTCAGATCGACCCAGCTCTAGGCATTGAGGCCAATTGGGGAGTGAACCAGCAGATGGAAGACCTTTCTCTCCATCTCTCCCTTTCTCTGTAACTCTACTTCTCTAATGAATTAAAAAAAAATCTTTAAAAAATGTTTGGGTAGTATTTTATAAAACCCTTCCTGGAGTCTTGCCCAACATTGTTTTTTTATTCAGGTTTATAGAGTTGTGATTTACACAAAATAAGAGCCATTCTTTTCAGATCTGCATTTCAGTAAGTTCTGAGGAATACAGTTAGTCAGGTAAAGACCACCAATCACAATACTGAACAGTTCCATCCCTGCAAAAGGTCCCCTCTCTCAAAATCCCAGCCCCAAGCAAACACTGATCTGGTATTTGCCTGGATTTTTATTTGCTTTATCCATATTTCTAACTTGCCAAAATGTTATCACCTGTGATAAAAACTTTCTGAGCTCCTGCTGTTGTAGGTACCCTTTTTCTATTAAAAACAGCTGATGAAGTAACTGCCTCACTTAACCTCTTTCCATAAGATCCTAAAGGAAAAAACAGAACTATGAAACTAGTTATTAGAGAGTTTTTCTTTTCTTTATTTTTAAACATTTATTTATTTATGTGAGAAGCAGTTACAGACAGAGTAAGGGAGAAACAGAGACTAGTCCTCCATCCACTGGTTTACTCTACAAATGGCTGCAACAGTCAGTGCTGGGCCAGGCCAAAGCCAAGAGCCAGGAGGTTTCCCACATGGGTGCAGGGGCCCAAGCACTTGGGCCATCCTCCACTACTTTCCCAGCCAGGTTAGCAGGGAGCTGGATCAGAGTGGAGCAGCCAGGGCTTGAGTCAGCACCAATATGGGATGCTGACACTGCAGGCTGTGGCTGTGCCACAGCATCAGCCATGAATTTTTCCTTTAACTTTTCATAAGGAAATTTCATGCTGCTTTATCCATTTGAAATATTACAAATTAACATGATCATATAAATGAAAATGTATTGATTGTGACAAAATCTTAAGTACATGGGCTCCTAAATGTACAAGATGATGTGTTTGCCTGAGAGCTAACTGGGGAGCTGGTTACAAATACAAAGTCCTAGTTTCTCAAGCATAGGTTGACAGATGCCCTCTAGGATGTACAACATTACCTGTTATAAAGACAAATGTTTTATTTGTAGAATAAAATCATACACACACACACACACACACTCACGCATACAGATTTTGTTACTGTCTTGTCTGAATATTTCTGAAGGTGAATGTTCACACATATCTGCTAAAGATTTCTTCACTGATTTGTGCATAAATCATTCTCAAAGTAAGTGATCTCTGTGCTTAAGGTCTTTAAATAAATTCTATTTGCTATCAAGGCAACAAAATTTATTGTTTCATGTTAATATAAAAAGGAAAAATGTCATAAATATAAATTACATTTATACCTGAATTCAACAAGGTATGTTGTGTTAAAATCTGAATTAAATATTAAGTTTTTATCTGGACCAAAAAAAAATGTGAATTAGTTTTGTTCCTCTTTTTCTTGGGTTTTAATTCTAGGAAGTACTAAGATATTAAACTTTAATTAAAGAAAAATTTAAAAAGAATGCTTTGATTACTCAATTTTTTGAAAAGCTATAGTTAAACATAATATCAACAACTACTTGTTTGCATACTATATGCATGAAAGATTTTACAATAAAAGTATTGTTTTGTGATGCTACAAAAAAGAAAACATGAAATTAAAGCATTAGTATTCAGACCTGCCTAATTGGTGAAAAAATTTTCAGTGAATAATTGTAGATAACTTTCAGACACAAGTAAAACATAAACAAAATGCAACTTGCAGGTTTGCTGTTAGGAAAACACCAAAGAGACATAAAATGCCAGTAGGTAGAAAAGAAAAGTCTGTCCAAGTTGTCCGTGTTGTCCCATGTAAGTGCCCTCTTTGGTGCAGTCTATAGCTGAACTCTGGAGATGAATAATAAATGAAGTGCCCTGGATGCTAAAATAACAAGAGTTCTGGGCTGTACAGGAAGGAAAAATTATCTTGATTCTAGAAATAAACAAAAAAAGTGCCCCCATTGATTAAACACATTATCCAGTAAAATAAAACTTCAAAGTTTTTGAAGTGATTCTAAAAAGGGAAAATTTCAACAATCTGAATTTTTTCCCTAAAGAAGACCATTCATTCAACTAAACTGATACTTTCCATAACCACACTAATAAGTCATGATTACTCAGTCTCAGAGGCAGATGTGCTGGTTCCCAGACAAAATGAACACTAAGAATTCAGTTTCTTGTCCTTTGTTCATTCTCAAGAGCCTGTTTAGTCTATACCTTGACATTTTAGTTTAAACTGTATTGACTGATAGGAAAGCTCATAAGTTCTTTTCAACAATATAGTTTAACAATTCCTAAACACAACCTATTTTGAGTGAAATGAAAATTTTATGAAAAACCCATCCAAAAAACTAAAAGTAAGTTTGATTAAAATACTTTTGAAAGAAACACAAATTTAAACTACCTTTTCAGTGTATTTTGTAAAAAGTACAAGTGCCACTACAATGTTTCAGATATGGAAGAGCCACATTTTATCTATACTAAGAAAAGAAACAAAGGGGTAAAGGCTCAAGCAGCTGCAGTGCCACTAGAAGAGCCTGATAAATATAAATAGAACTGAACGTCTGTGCTGAGCAGCACATCCCAACTCTCAAGGCAGTGCAATAGGGATCCTGACATGTGCCTAGCGCTTTTTGTTTGTTTTTTTTTGTTTTTGTTTTTGCCGTAAAGCATGAAGTAATCCATATTACAGTTTCACTCCTACAGCAACCAACTAAAAAACTGGACAAAATTTATGAACAATTTTTTTTTCAGACACTGTACCACAGGCAGCATCGGATTTTTGAAAGAAGGGAAAAAAATGGAGAAATCTTATGACAAATCTGGCCTTTTGTCTGTAGACACATTCTATGCATTTGCCTGAAAAAAAAAAAAAAATCCATGGTCCAAAGAGGAAGAGTCCACAAGAGATGTGGGTTCAGGCATTTGGAATTTATGAGGCACAGTATGGGGGAAAATGAGTTAAACAGAAAAAGAACTCTGGAAGTCTGAGTGGAGTCAGCTTAATATGTTGGCTGGGCCAGTGCTGTGGCACAGCAGGTTAATCTGCCATCGACAGCACCAGCCTCCCATATGGGCACAGGTTTGAGTCCCAGCTGCTCCACTTTGGATCCAGCTCCCTGCTAATGCACCTGGAAAAGCCGTGGAAGATGGTCAAAGTGCTTGGGCTAGGAGACCTGGATGAAGCTCCTGGCTCCAGCCTGGCCCAGCCCTGGTCATTGTGGCCATTTAGGGAGTGGAACCAGCAGATAAAAGATCTCTCTCTGACTCTCTTCTCTATCTCTCTCTGTAACTCTTTCAAATAAAATAAATAAATCTTTAAAAAAAAAAAAAAAAGATGTTACCCTACAAAGCTATATTGCATGCTAAGTTGTGACCCCATGAAAGCAAATACGAACTAGTGGTTAAAAAAAAAAAGACAGTTGCTGGGCATTTCAGTACTCTGAGTTCACACAGAACTGGGAAACATTTGTGCTCAACCAGCTAGGTTCAGCATTCAAGGAAGAACCCACAAAGGTCATGCCTTGGCAGGACTAAAGAAGCCTTAGAGTGACAGCTACTCTCAATTGGCCTTAACAGCATTCCAAAGGAGCCTTAACCAGGTCAATATGATCCAGGTCACTGTCCATCAAAATAAAACAAAAAACTCAATGCTTTATCAAGGAAGACTCAAAACTCAAATTCAGTAATGTAATACCACATGTTCAATATTAAATAGTGATCAACAGAAATAGAACCAGATATGCCAGAAATAATGAAATCAGAAGAAAAGGATATTAGAGAAGTGATTATAAATAATGTTCAAGGATTTAAAGCAGGAGTTGGCAAACTTCGGCCTGTGGGCCAAATCCAGTCTAACTTCTGTTTTGTAAACACAGTTTTGAAGAACATAGCCAAAAACCCATGGACCAAATCCAGTCCACTACCTACTTGTAAATAAAATTTCAAAGAACACATCCATGTCTATTTATTTGCATATTGACTCTGGCTAATTTTGTGCTATAATAGTAAAATTGACCTATGGCCCACAATCCCTAAAAATATTTACTAACTGTCCCTATACAGGGAAAGTTAGCTAATTCTTGATGTAAAGAAAAACATAAACACAAGGAAAGAAATAGAAATTTATTTACCTTATTTCAAAGGTGGAGAGGAGAGAGACAGAGACAGATATCAATCTGATCCTCTGGTTTACTCCCCAAATGCCCTTGACAGCCAGGACTGGGCCAGACCAAATCCAGGAGCCAGAAACTCTATCTGGGTCTCCCACATCACCCACTGACTCCTTGGGTACACATTAGCAGGAAGATGGAATTGAGCGCACAGCCAAGACTTGTATCCAGGCACTTCGACACAAGATGCAGATGTCCCAAGCAGTATCTTAACCACTGTACCAAATGTCTGCCCCCAAATTGCTATTAACTCAATGATAAAGGAGAAAATTTTAAAAGAGGAGATAAAAAGGGTATTTTTATTTATAGGGAAAAACAGGTAAGATTTTATTGAAAATAATGGAAGCCAAATGAAAACATAATTCCCTAAAGTGCTAAAA